AATTGTTACTATCTTGCTTTTTTCAGAAAGATTTTGCTAATCCTTAAGTAAAGTATAAAATAATTATAATAGCTTGGCAAAAATTTAGATGGTATGGCATATAAATAATAAGTGAATAAATGTAGGATTGAATGTATACCTGCCTAAACCCAGAGCCCATGCTTTATGTAGTTATACTTCATTTTTCCATGAAGAATGAATTTATTTATTTATTTATTTATTTATTTATTTATTTATTTATTTAGGTATAGTTGATTTAGAATATTATAATATTTAAAATATTGCATTTTTCAGGTGTTCAACATAGTGCTTCAAAATTATTATAGATTAAGATATTGGCTATATTTCCTATGCTGAACAATATATCCTTGTAGCTTATTTATTTTACACATAGTAGTTTGGTCCTCTTAATCCTCTAATCGTATCTTGCCCCAAAGCTTCATTGTTTTTTAAAAGAAAAAAACAGGCAATCATAACAAATAAAAATAAAATTCATTCTCATCTATACTCAATACCATCTAGTGGTATTAAGATTTTCATCATTTTCTTCAATCTTTTTATTTTCTATGCATAATTACACCCTAACTCACTCCTACACTTACAAATTTTCACACTAATGTATATATCTTTTTATATTCTAGTTTTTAAAATTATGCCTTGAACATTTTATTATGTCATTTGTTATCTGAAAGTATTATATATAATTGTTGCATATTATTTTTTCTTGTGACTATTCATAGGTATTTAACCAATGTCTTAACATTGGTCATATGTCCACTTTTTTCCATTATAAATAATATTTTGATTACTTTCCTAGTGAGTAAATACTTTTGCATATTTAAAATTATTCCACTGATGTAAAATCCTAGAAGAAAAATTATGGGATCAAATTATATAAATAATCTTTAAGCTTTTTTCACTTATCATCATATAGCCATTCAGAAAATTCATATTAGTTTAAAATTCTACTACCAGTATTTACCCATACCCTTTTTAGCAATATATATTATCGTTACAAAAACTCTGCTTAACTTGAAAAGCAAGAAAGTTAGATTTTACTGTTTTGATTTTTTTGTTTCTTATATTCCTAATGATGGTAAGGAATTTATTTAACCACATATTTTTCTTTTTAAACTGACAGCTAATACTGTTCACCCATTGGGTTATTAATTTGAAAAGATATAACTCTTTTTTTTAATTGAAGTACAACCAGTTACAATGTATCATTTTCTGGTGTACAGCACAATGTCTGGGTCATGCATATACATACATATGTTCATTTTCATATCCTTTTTCATTAAAGATTATTACAAGATGTTGAATATAGTTTCCTGGGTTATACAGAAGAAACTTTTTAAAAAATTTATTTTTATATATAGTGGCTAACATTTACAAATATCAAATTCCCAAATTTATCTCTTCTCACCCCTTTTCCCATGGTAACCATAAGATAGTTTACTATGTCTGCGAGTCTGTTTCTGTTTTGTAGATGAGTTCATAATGTCCTTTTTTTTATTTTTATATTCCACATATGAGTGATATGGTATTTTTCTTTCTCTTTCTGGGTTTCTTCACTTAGAATGACAATCTCCAGGTCCATTCATGTTGCTGCAAGTGGCATGATTTTATTCTTTTTATGGCTGAGTAGTATTCCATTGTATAAATATATACCACAGCTGCTTTATCCAATCGTCTGTCAACGGACATTTAGGTTGCTTTCATGCCTTGACTATTGTATATAGTGCTGCTATGAACATTGGGGTGCATGTATCTTTTCGAATTAGAGTTCCCTCCACATATATGCCCAAGAGTGATATTGCTGGATCATGTGGTAAGTCTATGTTTAGTTTTTTGAGGAACCTCTATACTGTTTTCCATAATGGCTGCACCAAACTGCATTCCCACCAGCAGTGTAGGATAGTTCTCTTTTCTCCACAGCCTCTCCAGCATTTATCGTTTGAGGACTTGAACGAGGTAATGTTTTGCCTATGTTTTCTTCTAGGAGATTTCTTGTGGTCTTGTCTTATATTTAAGTTAAAGCTATAGTTCTTAATATACATGTTTAAAATTTTTCAGGAGAAGTTTTTAAAATTCCCTTTAATTTTTATTAGTGTACTTTTTATCTTTAAAATTTTTAAATTTCATAATGTTAAACTTTTTAGTCTTTTCCTTCATGTATTTTCCTTTGCCTTGATGCTATACAAATATTTTTCAATATTTATCAAACAAGATAAATATTCATACCTAAATTCTGCTAGCTCAATTTTTTAATTTAATTCTTTAATTCATTGAAAAATTTTTGATTCAAACCATGAAATGCCTGTCATTATTTTTTCCAAATATTTAACCAAATATCCTATTACTATTAATTAAATAATATTGTCTTTATTCTTTAATTTGAATTATAGCTTTGCTATATACTTATTCTTTTACCAATTAAGAGTTCTTCATAGAATGAGTATTCTATAGCATTAATCTGCCATTTTTGCATAAATAATCCACTAATTGTTGAGTTTCAGTATACTCAGCAGTCTAGGTAAAATCAGTAAACACAGAGCCACTACATTACCAGAATAAAAGTAATTTAATACAGGAATTAGGACTCACATAAATGTTAATATAGGAATTAGGACTCACATAAATAGTCTGAAGACTGCAACCAAAAGATTCGAGGCTCAGTCACTAATGACTTCTGTCCAAAAACCCAGAACAGACGGGAAACCAGAGCTTGCAGAGAAGTCTGAGAAACTACATCTGCTGTCACTACGACTCTATGTCACTATGACATTATGTAAACTACGAAATGGGAGCTCATGGTAAGTTCGATGAAGCTGCCACATCAGGTCGCCATGACCTCAGAAAGAAGCTCATGGAAATATCCACAAAGCTTTACTTCAGACCAGCACATCTCCCTAGGATAATAGCTTCTCCTTTATGCCTTCAAAATCTTACATAAGTTCCTCACATGAGATGAGCAATCCAGAGAAAGGGATTCTGGGAAATGCAATTCCTTAGAAGTGGAAATAATGCAAAGTTGACATCTATCAATCTGGCTATGTCCACACAATTGTTAATTCAGCTTCCATTTCATTTTTTACCTATGTTAACCTTTGATTAAAGATGACAATAGTGGGTGGGAGGTAGAGCCCATGCTTGGTGTGCACGAGGTCCTGGGTTCAATCCCCTGGGTTCAATCCCCAGTGCCTCCATTAAGAGGAAAAAGAAATTTAAAAAAATTTTTTAATTAAGAAAAAAAGTGTTTAAAAAAATGACAATAGCATTATGTTTCCACCTTACCAAGATATGCTCACTCTCTTGCTAGAAGTGGAGACAAAACTTCAATTTCTCCATCTCTGAATGATATTTATTCCTTTTAAGTTATATTATTTCCTTGATAAATCTGTCTTAAGTACCAAAATCTGTTTTGGTACTTCAACTCTTCTGGGGAATATGAGAGGGGAGGAGAAAAAAATATAATATAATATAACACACTAATATAGGCTAGAGTACCCAGTTATTTAATCAAACACTAATCTAGGTGTTGCTATGAAGTTATTTTATAGATGTGGTTAATACCTACAATCAATTAACTTTAAACAAAGAACACCCTTGATAAAGTGGATGAGCCTCATCAAATCATTTGAAAGACCTTAAGAATAAAAAATAAGTTTTTATGGAGAAAAAATTCTGTCTCAAAACTGAGATATTGATTTCTTCTGAGTTTACAGTCTGTTAACCTGCTCTAGAGATTTTGGACTTGCCACCTCCACAACTGTGTGAGCAATTCCTTAAAATAATTTTATAAATTATATAAATATATGTCTATATATAGAATTAAATATAAAATCTCCTATTGGTTCTGTTTCTCTAGAGAACCTTGATTGACACATATATTCCATGTTTATTTTTTCTACTTTATTAAATTCGCTAAAACTTCCTGGACAATAATAAGTAATGAGAGTGATAAAGATCACTTTTTATTTTCCTGCTCGTGTAAGCTTATTCTTATTGTGCTTTACCAATAAGGAAAATGCAGGTTATTGTTGGACATTCTTTTAAGATTGCATTGAGAACACAGAAGAATTTTAAAGCAGGGCAATGACATAAAAAGCCTTCACATTTTGAAATGTATTACTTTGGCTGCTCTGGAGGGGATAAAATTGGAGGCAAAAAGACCAGTTGAGAACATATTTCAGAAGCCTAGGCAAGAGATTATGAGAGCCTGAATCAGAGAAGAGTTAACCAAATGAGTAGTAAAAAATGAATAAGATCAAATACTTAGAAGGAAAATTCAGAATTTAGGGACTGATTGGATGTGAATAATGAAATAGGGTGTAGATTCGAGGATGATTGAAGCCCTGGTATACTTATTTTGATTGAATGGTATGTCATTAATTAATTACAAAATACAAGATAAGAGAAAATAATGAGCTCAGTTTGTCTGTAAGACAGCCATATGGAAATGTCTAGATAGCTAACTTGGGAGTCCTCAGTACTCTTTATGTACGTATATTTCGGTAAGTGTGAAAGAGACCATCCAAGGTGAATGTATACAGTAAGAACAATGAGACAAGTTTTAAAGTCCAGTGATCACCAAGGTTTAAATACTGATCAGAAAAAAAAAAAAGAAAGAAAGAAAAAGAAACTCATCTATGATAAAGAGAACCTAAAAAAACAGAAGAGATGTGAGCCCAGGATCATATATATTTTGAAAAAGTAAAATTTGTTCATTGTCAGGCAAATCATAGGTCCAAGTCTAGATAACTTCTAAGATCTACCTCCTACAGTTCTTGCATAAATGTATTTAATTTCTTCTGATTTCTCACATCCAAATAAAATTAATCTGTATTCAATATATATTTCAGAAGCTTCAATTTTTATGTCTAGAAGGTTATGCTAAAGAAATAATCCTGAATGCATACAAAAAATATGGTCACAAACATACACAACAGAAAAATTAAATCTTGTATTAAATAGAAAAATAGAAAAAATGCCTTAAATGTCTGTCAAAGAGAAATTGTTCTATATATCATGGTATATTCATATAATAGACAATCATGGATCCATAGAATGTTATAGAAAATCATTTAATGGCATGGAAAAATGTACCTTATATTTTATTAAGTAAAAATAACAAGTTAAAAAATTGCACTCATAGTATGGTTATATCTTCATTATTAAAACTTAAGATAAATATCCTATGTGTCTGTAAGTCCTAAATAGAGACAGTCATGTTTCTTTTACTTTTCTAGTTTAATAATCTGAATCTCAATCCCTCTAATCAGAAAGTTCAGTATCACACTTTTGAAAAGCTACATCCTCTCCCTACTCCTATATTTTGACCTTCCACTTTCTCCAACCAGCAAAATGTTTCCAAGAACCCAGAAGATTATTTACTTCTAAAGGAACTTGCTTCCCAGTGCCAGTCTGAAAGATTACTAGAAAGCACAATGACTCCACTACTGCTTTTGACTTTTCTCTGCTGTAAAATGTTGCTGTTGAAGAACAGTTTTGTCACTGTCTACTCTCAGTGATGCCCAGGCCAGTTAAGGTCCTTGTATAGAGCAGAGGGGCCTCCAAGTAGAGTTGATTGCAACTGATAGAGCACAAATTAAAAAGCAAGAGATTGACAAATTTTAAAAAATCAATACTCGACTATATGCTTGCCTATAAGAAACCTGCTTTAAGTGTAAGACACAGAAAGCTAAAAGTGAAAAAAATGGAAAACTTATACTGTATATGATTCCAACTATGTGACATTCTGGATAAGGCAAAACTATGGAGACAGGGAAAAGATAAATGGTCACCAGGGATTGGAGAGGGGAGGAATGAGTGGGTGGAACATAGATAATTTTTAGGGCAGTGAAAATAGTCTGTGTGATACCATAATGGAAATATGTCGTGTACATTTGTCCAAACCCATAGAATAGACAATACCAAGAGTGAACTGTAATGTAAATTATGGATTTTAGATGATTATAATGTGTTAATGTAAGTTCATTAATTGTAACAAATGTCCACTTTGTTGGGAATGTTGATAATGGGGTAGCTTATGCATATGTGGGGTCAGAGGGTATATGGAAAATTTCTATATATTCCCCCAATTTTGTTGTAAAACTAAAATTTGTCTAAATAATAATAAATTGTATACCATACTAACACCAATCAAAGGGAGATTGGAGGGACTATATTAATATCAGTACAAATAGATTTCCAAGTAAAGAATATTACTATAAATAAAGAGGATCATTTTACACTTACAAAGGGGTCAATTAATCAAGAGGACATGACAAAAATATTTATGCACCCAATAACAGGGCCTCAAAGTACATAATGCAAAAACTGGTAAATTGAAAGAAATAATAAACAAATCCACAAATAAAGACAGATTTGAACAAAAGTTTCTCAGAAACCAAAAGAATAAATAGTCATAAGAATCAGTAAAGATATAAAAAAACATGAAAAACATTAGTAACCAACTTGACTTAACTGACATTTAAAGAATACTGTACCCCCAAAAAGCAGAATACACATTCTTTCCAAGCACACGTAGTACATTTAACAAGATACACAATAGACCAGGCATAAAACAAGTCTCAGCAAATTATAAATAATTTAAATTGTATAAAGTATATTCTCTGGCTACAAAGAAAGTAAATTAGAAATCAGTAATGCAAGAATGTCTCAAAAATACCCAGTTATGTGAAAAAACACTTCTATATAACCAAGAGGGTTAAAAAAAGAAAATTAAAAAGCATTTTGAAATATGAAAATAATGTGGATAAACTAAAACCATTCTTTATAAAAAAAAAAAAAAGTTGTTACATTAATGAACTAAGCTTCCATCTTAAGGAACAAGTAAAAGAAGAATCCAAAACAAACATAAGAAAAAAGATAATAAGGAGAAAATCAAATTAATAAAACTAAAATAAAAAAACAATTAAAAGAATCAGAAAAGCCAATTATTTAACATATGAATTATCACATCTTATAACTAAATCATGAAATTTAGTGGATTAAAATTTTACTATTTTGTATTTTAATTTCTTATAATATGGCAAGCTATCTGTTTCTATCCTCTGCTGAAACCAGCTAATTATTCTAAATAAATATATACTCTTAAAAATTAATGAATTGGCAAAGTTAGAAGACAGTCCCAGCACTAGATAAAAGTAAGGATACAGACAGATAAGGAGAGTCCATAGCCTTCTTTCATTTTTATGGCATTTGGCAAGTAGATTGATTTGATTTAAAATGTTTTAGCCTCATGGGGTAAAATAAACAAAAAATAAAAAGCCCAGAGCTGTTCATAAGAAACACATTTAAAACCTAAAGATTCAGAAAATTTGGAAGTAAACTGATTTAAAAACTAACAATATACACAAGTTAATAATCTAAGCAAAAGGAAAGTGATAAGGTACTAGCACAACTTTAGATAGATTAAATAACAAAGCATTAAGAGAGATTAAAATGACCACTAGATAATGTTAGTAATGCAATAACTCAAGAATATATAGTAGTTTTAAATCTGTATGCACCTACCAACATAGCCACAAAATATGGTGATCAAAAATCAAGAGAAAAACAAAAAGATAAATGTATAATATAATTGGGAAGGTTAATATATTCCTCTCATAGCTAAAGGAACAGCTGATGAAATAAAATTAGCATGATATTGATGATTTGGAAGACAATTAACAAAAATTAGTTATTGACACGTATAGAACACTATACCCAACAACTTCAAATTACAAAAGCTTTTGAAGCATACATAAAACATGTTGGAAAACTGACGATATTCTGGTCCAAAAGTAGTCTCAGTAAAGTTCAAGAACTGAGGCAAGCAGGTCATGTTCTCTGCCTACAATGAAATTTTGTTAAAAATCAAAACAAAGAGATAAAAAAAATTAGAAAACCTGGAGTTTCCTAGAATAGTTAAAGAAATTGCATCATTTAAAAATTTTTTCCAAAATGAAAACACCAAGAACGGTTTCACCACTGAATTCCAGCCAAAAATTGAGGGAACAAATATTTGCAATATTATGTAAATTCTTCCAGAGTATATAAAAACAAGAAGCATAACTCAATTTATGATGCCAGCATAACTTTGATGTCAAAATCTGAGGACAGCATGGGAAAAAACTGATGGGCCAACTCACTCATGAATCTACACTCAAAATTCCTAAACCAAGTATTACCCAAATGAATCCTGCGAAGTATTAAGAAGACTATTGTAACACGACCAAGTTGCTTTATCCCAGCCTTGCAAAGTCTATTTACAACAGATTATCAGTTCATATAATTCACCACATCAGTAGATTAAACATATAATTGTGTCAATAAATGCAGGAAATTCATTTGATGAAATTTATCATTCATGCATTATTAAGCAAAACAAAACAAAAGAAAAACTTTTTAACAAAGGTTACTGGGTGCAAAATCAATATAAAAAATTAACTCTACTTTTATACACCAGCAACAAGCATTTAGAAATTAGATTTAAGACATATTGTTGAAAATACAAAATATTACAATCCTAAGGGATAAATTCAATAAAAGATATACGTAAAACTTTTTTGGCAGAAATTAAAGGGAACATATATAATAAAAATATATGCTATATATACCATGCTAATGAATTAGAAGATGACTTAGAGATTAAAAAATTAATGATCTTTCTTTCTTCGGTCTTGTTTAGTTTGCTTTTTCAGAATCTGATGCATAATGACATTTAAATTAGATAGTTTGAGGTTTTTAAAAAAAAATATCAAACACACTTTCCCACAGAGCTCATTTTATTTATACGTATTTATCTCAATTAACTGTTAACGTATCAAAACGAGCACTTACGACCGCCATGAGCCACAGGCATGCATTTACTCAAAGATTTCAACTGTAAGATTTACTATTACACTGTGTAACAACCAATTCTATTTTTGGAATTTAAAAAATTAATCTTAATGTCCACTTAGATTCTAAATTGTTTAGATTGGCTATCTAGATACTCTGCATTCACCAGATAATGGCCTCAGTATATCCTGCACTTGGTCACGAATTGACATTGTCTGTAAATCTTGCTAGCACAAGATTATGTTTTACTAAGTGAAAACAGAGTGTCCATTTTAGCAAAATAATATACAGTTAACAACTTCCAGGAAGGGGAAGTTAATATGAATATTAATAAATAAAAGTTAGTAAGAACATGCAGGGTACTATGTTGCAAACTTTACGTTCACTGTCTCCTTTATTCCTGACAGCAATTATTCTGGTGGTTGCCACTGCAATTCTATTTTACAGACCAGAAAGTGGAATTATTATGGTGGATAAGCAATTTGCTGAAGGTTATACAGCTAAGTTGTAGAGCTGGAATTTGAGGTCACACTTTCAGCAGTCATAGCACATGGCCTCTCTGGTTAGCATATAAATGGAGGTAAAGAGAGAATACACATGTCTTTATGTATCACAAGGGAAGTTGAGTTGACTGTATTAGAAATCACAGAGTAAGTGATTTGTTTATATTTCACCACTTAAAAATTACAGATTAAGAACTTAAGTATTTCAACAAAGCAAACTGTCCCCTTTTGAAAGAACTGGCAAAAGTCTGCTGTTTAGAAAGAGAAACACACAGTTTCTCTAAAACCTGTATTTGGAGTTGGAATATATGTCCACTGTGCATTTGGAAAAAGAAAGCCAGAGCTCAAAACTCTAAAAGCAACTTTATGAGGCAGACAGGATTCCTTTGGGACATTAAGCTATTTTCAGTAGGGAGTACAAATATTTTGTTCAAAATGCTAAGAAACCCCGTTAAAACATTTCCTAATAGGGTCATAAATGGTTTGTTGAAATGCACAGAAACCAGTTTGCCCCTATGCCTGTGATTTATTATTGTACATGAGAAATCAGTATTTACTACTATTAATTTTTTTTCTGACTAAACAATAGCCTACTTTAGGTCAATAAATGTAGATGTGACAATATAATTGTGATAAGACTTACCACTTTTTAATTTGATGCAGAAATACATTTTTAGCCTTAATTCATTAGGATGGCAATTTGTTTCTAAGATTAGCTTCCCATTTCCTTAAAATGACTAATACTTTTTGCATTTTACATTTCTTGTAGTATGTAATTCAGTGCTAAACTTAAATATCTGTAGATTGATTGCCCCTTTTCACCTAAAGAAAATAGTGCTGACATTTGTAGAGAGAAATAATATTGCACTCTTACCACTTGAGAATACTCTCCTACACTTTGGGGTGCTTAACAATCAACTCTAAAGTTGTGGACTGAATGTAATACTTTTCTGCCTGTAAGAGGCATAAAAGTAGACAGGCCAACTCTAAAAACAGTCTGTGGCTGCCCTTCCCCTGTCAGGTATCTCTGCTTCCCCACATCTTTAGGGATTTCTGGTGACTGCTATCACATCTTGCTCACTGAATAGGGTCATTATTACTTCAGTGAAAATTAAATTGCTGTATATTCTCTCCTTAAAATTTTTATATTTTAAGCTTAACATGACATGGGAAGCATTATTTCCCTGCCCTTTAAAAAAATTTGAACATCAGAGGTTAAGAGAAGGAATATTAGTAAAAGTAGAGATGGAGGCTTGAGCGGTCTATTTATGCATCCTAAATAACAAAAATCTGTGCACACCTAGTCTTAAAATAAACTTTTATAAACTGCATAAAATAATAAATGAATCTGAAGTGCTTGAATAATAGAATACTAGAACTAGATGGCACCTAAAAATTCATTGTCTACTTCCCTCCACCAATGTTACAATCTTCTCTGTAAGAACACTAACAGATTGTCAACAACTTATACCACTCTTTTGGCCTTTTTAAAATTAAAACAGTTAGGTTTTTTTTTTTTAGACTTCAGAAACTTCTTGGCAAGCTGGTATTCAACTGCAGAAATGCATCTGCTCAGAAACCCCAAAATAAACATGTTTCCCAAAGGAATCAAGTATGTTCTATAAAAATCCTGTCCTGTTCATAGAATATGGTGAACATGAATTTCATTGCAAGTTAATGATGGAGATGAGGTCCTTTGTGCAGATTAAGAGGTGCTGAA